CCCACCCTCTTCCCTCAAACTGGCTAAAAGAAGGGGCTCTGCATGTTAGAGCTCAGTTCATGCTCACAAAGCTTCACAAAGCTTTGTGAAGAAGGCTACTTAGAGAGGGAGAAGTTTGACTGAGCTAGTGCAAAAAGTGCAGAAAGCAAGAAAGGAAGGAAAGAACAGCATGATCCTTGACCTCTCAAAGAAGACAGAGTAATGAAAAAAGTGAGGAGAAAAAAAATCCCAAGACAATGGTAACATGAAATGGATTATCACAGAACAAGACTAGACCATCTCTCCCATTATAGGTTGCTCCAATTAACAGCATTTAAGGCACTGCAGTAGCCAAACTTCAAGCTCCACTTAACAGAACCTTTCCTGGAGCCACAAAACTACCTTCTTTCAGAAGCAGAGGCTGTGAATTTATATGTCTGACTGCTGTTGACACACTGGGTCTTAGAGTGCCTATTAAGAGTGGCAGCAAAAGAACATGACCAGTTACAAGCATGATTTCTTTTCCACCCAGACAACTCTCTAGTTATGAATGGATGATTCTAAAAGCCCATTTGTGTCCAACAAAATCCAGTCACTGAGGAAATCAATGCAAAGCCTTTTTTTTCCTCTCTAGGTGTACAATATACAAACATGCTAAACAGTCTCTGCAACTGCAGGATGCACGGACACCCACATACAGCAGTTCAACTAAAGCTGAGGGGCTGTGAATAACAGAACTGCCATTCAAATGCCAGCCCAGAATCTGTCTGTCCAAGAAACTAAAACAATCCCCTTCACAAGCCAGGTATGCACATGGGGATGACAGATCTGTTCATGTGCTGAGGGTAGCAGGTATGTGTTCCAGTCAAAGACAGCCCAGAGCAAGTCTACAAGAAATGAGCATGGACCAAGAGCATACTGTAGGACACACAGTAATAGGTGAAGTATTCTGAACAGCAGCCAGAAGAGGACTGTGTTTAAAAGAAAGCCCCCAAAACAAAAAACCTTCTCCAAAACACTGTCAGAAACAAGTTGACAGGAAAGCCACTTTGGTATCAGGAGCCTCAGAGAAGGCCAAGAATGCTGGCACAAATTCTGAAGGAGGAAGACTACTACAAAAAAATCTGAAGGAATGACATTTTGGAGATCTGTTTTTCTTTTTCTCTCTCTGAAAGTTTGCCTAGCAGGTGGGTTTCTAAACTTCCTATGTAAATATTTTAGCCATATAAACTGCAGGCCCAGACTATTAATCATTTATCTTGGTCTTAAAACTCATCCAAAGTTTACTTCGCTATTTGTTAATTAACTGGGTCATGGTTTTAAAGAAACCATTTACTTCCAGCAAACCTCAATGCTGTATTATGTTCCATCCACCACGCTATTCAGAAATACACCACGTAAAATCAGTTTCTTTAAGTAAACACTGCCAAATTATTCAGCAGCAATAACTGTAAAATATTTCACTGGCAAATCAAAACCGTTACTTTAAATATATTTTAAGTAACCTGTGATTCTACACAGCACTTACAGGACAACCAAGGGATCAGGCCCAGCCAGCATTGGCTTGTGAAAGGCAGGTCCTGCCTGACCGACCCAATCTCCCTCTGTGACCAGGTGACTCATTTAGTGGATGAGAGAAGGGTTGTGGATATTGTCTACCTGAACTTTAACAATGCCTTTGACACTGCTTCCTACAGCACTGTCCTAGAGAGACTGGCTGCTCATGGCTTGGATGGGGACACGGTTCGCTGATTTAAAAACTGTCTTGATGGCCAGGCCCAGAGAGTGCTGATGAATGGAGTGACACCCAAGTGGCAGCCACACACTGGTAGGGCTCCCCAGGGCTCAGTGTTGGGGCCAGTCCTGTTTAGTATCTTTACTGACTACACAGATGAGGGGATTGAGTGCCCCCTCAGTCCGTTTGCATGGAACACCATGTTGGGTGGGAGCGGTGATGTGCTGGATGTCAGAAAGGTTCTGCAGAGGAATCTGGATCGATGGCCTGAGGCCAGCAGTATAAGGGTCAACAAGGCAAAGTGTCCAGTTTGGACACTCCAGAGAGGCTGGAAAGCTTCCCAGCGGAAAATGACCTCGGGCAACAGCCAGCACATGAGCCAGCAGTGTGCCCAGGTGGCCAAGAAGACCAGTGCCGTCCTGGCTTGCATCACAAATAGTGTGGCCAACATGACCAGGGAAGCGATTGTTCCCCTGTACTTGGCACTGGTGAGGCTGCATCTCAATTCCTGCTCAGTTTTTGGGCCCCTCACTTCAAGAAGGACACTGAGGTGCTGGAGCGTGTCCAGAGAAGGGCAACGAAGCTGATGGAGGGTCTGCAGCACAAGTCTTATGAGGAGCAGCTGAGGGAGCTGGGGTTGTTCAGCCTGGAGAAAAGGAGGCTCAAGGTGACCTATAACTCTGTACAACCACTTGAAAGGAGTTTGTAGGCAACAAGTGACAGGATGAGAGGAAGTGGCCTGAAGTTGCTCCAGGGGAGGTTTAGATTGGATAGTAAGAAAAATCACTTCACAATGCCAAGCACTGGAACAGGTTGCCCTGGGAAGTGGTTGAATTACTATCCCTGGAAGTATCTAAAAGATGAGTAGATATGGCACTTAGGGACGTGGGGCAGTGGTGAACACAGTGGTGCTGAGTTACCGGCTGGACTCGATGATATTCCAACTTAAACAATTCTGTGATTCTGTACTTGCCCAACATTGCCCAGTTCGCTCAAACTCTCAGTAAACAAAAGGTAAAGACTAAAGTAAGACAACTATTTCAATAAAGAGAACAATTCAGCCACTGCTTCTATGCTAAGAAACCTTGATCTAAAGAGCCCCTTAGGATAATAACCTCCATGGAGAGCACTTTAAACCTGCTAGGATCAGTTGCACACAAGTGCAGAAAAACAAGTTTGGTCACTGCTTTGCACTTCTGCATAGGAAAAACAGCATTTTCCATACTATCTCTTCCTATATCTGTTCTATCTCAAACTCTCACGTTGTACTGCTGTCTGTAGTTTAGCAACAGAAACATGCAATTATTATTTGTTAGGTTTATTTGTGTAACACTGAGGCTCATGGGCAGGACTTTCACTGACTATCAAGAAAGCCATTTTTAGCAAGCTCTTTTGTGTAGATAGTCATGCAGTGCTAGAATAGGGAAACTAGATGTTAATTTCAATCAAATCCAGAATATTTTATTTCACCTTAATCTGCTAGCCTGTTTTGGGGTTTTGGTCGGGGTTTTTTTTTCCAGTACAGAAATGCAAAAGTTTCTAAATGCAGAGTTTTAATATGTTTTAATATTGTTTTCAATTTGATATGAAAACTAAACTCCATAGATGTAAAGTTACATACATCAAATCTGTCAAACCAGCTGCATTATGAATTCATCTTCGCCATAAAAACCTTACATATCAATTTCAACCAGATTTTACACTAGGGATTCCCCCCCCTTCCCTACAACAACGATGACATGGGAAGAGACCAGTGTAGTAATGAACTAAGTTTATATTTTGCAAGTCGTATTTTTTTCTTGGGAATTGCATTTTTACTGCTAGGCCAGTCACAGAGGCATCATCAGCAAATACTTTCTTGGTATTACAGAGCTACAACAAGCAGGTGGCATTAATAGAACAGGATCACCATTCCAAGTAAGTGAACACCAGTAATACCAGGATAATAAATGTCATGGAAGCAGCTGGATGGAACTGCAAGCACCTATTAATTTACCAAACACGGAAAAGCAGAGGCAAAACACCTAAGAGCAAAAATTGACACAAGAAACTTCGCCACAACAACCTCACAAGGGCACTAGAGGAAAAAAAAAAGGCGGAGAAAACCAAGGTTCACAATCGTTTTCATCAGTATTTGAGGCACATGGGACTTCCTGACCAGCACAAGCTCTGAACGCACACCTCTGCCTACAGACGGGATCCTGCAGTGTCTGTTCTGTTCCTCAGGCAGGTCTGCTGGCAGGCCCCAGCACAGTCTGAGCTCCTGAGCTGCACTACATGGACCAAAGAAAGTTCAGCTGGTAACACGCTATCTTCCACAACAGAAAAACTGGCACTCACTAAGCGACCCGTGAACCTCCTCCTGACCCCGGTGCAGAGCATCTGCAAGGACCGACTCTGGTCCCACTCGCCGTAATTCCCCTCGGGCAGGACACGCCGCCTTCGGAACAGTCACCGACTGTGTCTGCGCTCAGCGCTCGCTTTTCCACACATGCACATACAGAGCGCTATTTAGTAACGATTATTTATGCAGCCTTCCATATTAACTTTTATAAGCCAAATTCTGCTGCAAGCAACTTTGACATAAACCTAGAATAGTAACTGCTGCAGTCAAGGAACTCTGTTTTCACGTCGACCTAGTAGCTAATGGGGGAATGCGATGCTAAGCAAACAACGACTCCCCCCAGGAAAAGAAAAAAAAAAAAGAAAAAAAAAAGGGAAAACCCACCAAAAACACACCTAAACCCAAGCGCCGGCAGCCTGGAGCCAAGCCTCTCAGCGCGGGGCGCCCCGCCCGGGCTCGGCTTCGCCTCCGCTGCCTTTCTTCCGGCTTTTTTTTTTTTTTTTTTTTTTTTTTTTCGTCCTCTCCCTGCTCTTTTTTATTTTCCTTTCTCCTTTCCCAGCGCGCTCCCCCCGCTGAACGCCGTCCAACTCCCGGGACCACACACGGGGCCCGCCCCGCCCGCCGCGGCCGCGCGCACTCACAACATGGCGGCGGGGGCGCCTCCCGGAGCGCGGCCCCTCGGCACCGCCGGCGGGGCGCGGGGACCCGCCGCCCGCGGCTCTCCCGGCACCGCGAGGCGGGACACGGGCGAGGCACGGGCGGACGCGGCGGGGTCTGTCCCGCCGCCCCTCCGCCCGGCGCGCGGCCCGGCCGCCGCGGCCCCCCGCGGGCCGACGAGTGGTAGGAGCCGCCCGGGGCCGCGCGCCCCGGCCCAGCGCCCGCCCCCCGCCCCCGGACCCGCCCGGCGCCGGGCTCCGCACAGAGCGGGCACCCCGCACTTACCTTCCACCCACAGCTCCTCCACGTTGGTCTCCAGGTTAGCTGCCCTTAATCCTACAGCGAAAGCCCCAAAGATCAGGAGGCCGACAACCAAAAATTTCCCGCAGTTTTTCTGAATGTAACAGCCCAGTTTAAACAACAGTCTCTGAAACTTTGCTCGCAGCCACAACGGCGCTTTTCGTCCCGTCGCCTTCCCCTGCAAGGCAAGAAGAGGTCAGTAGTTGGGGGGCTGCGGCAGCCGCCAGAAGCGGGGGGGAGCACCCCCAGCCCTCCCACGAGCGGGACAGCTCGTGCCCCTCGGGGCGCGGCCCCCGGGATGAAGGATGGAGCGCAGTGGATCGGCTCGAGCAGGCATCCTTCTAGCAGGGCCCTTTGCCCCACAGCCCTGCCGAGCACACATGTAGGGACAAGATGTACCTGCTGGCAGCCATCCTTGCCCCACGCAGACACGTGGGTTTGGGTGTGACAACACCGCTTCAAGCCCCCGGGCCCTACCCTGTGCTGCCCACCACCACGCTCTTCTCGTGCCCGAGGCGCCGCCAGCAGCTCAGGCTGCAAAGCATTCTCGCTGGCAGGACCCGTGGTTCCAGGGCAGAAGGAACCACTTCCGATGAACTTCTACAGCCACAAGAAAGAAAAATTCCTTTTCCTGTTCTCCTTAAGACCCCAGAATGGCTGGGGTGGGGGGAGGAGGGAATTGTGTGACAGACTGCTAGTGGGTAGCAGTGGCCGTTTCCCCCACTCCCAGTTCCTAGGAAGGATTTGGTGCTAAGGCAGGACCCACGTGGTGAACAGCGCTGTAAGATCTGCAGTAATTCATTTCCATAGAGTTTGGAGACGCTGTGTGATCTGAATTAGGAAGTAGAGCAGCCATCTGTAAGTTACGACAATATTTGTGAACGGAAGAGGGCAGCCACATGGATTTTTTTTTTCCTCCTCCTTTCCCTCTTCTTACAAAGCCTAGAAATCCGCTCCCTGAAGTGAAACCATCCCTGCAGCAAGGCAGCTTTTGGAGGTTGTTTACTTTGAACATTTTTTGGCCGGCGGAGATTGGCGGACGGGGCCGTCCCCCCGCCCCGCCCGGGCCGGCACCTCAGCCCTCCGCGGGGACCGGCGCGGCAGGGTTAAGGTGGCAATTTGTTTACGGCCCTCGCTCCCCCTCCGACCTCCGGGCAGGGGAGAAAACCGCTGCCTTCTCTGCTCGGGGACCCTCCTCTCTGAAGGCGGTCGCCGTGTCAGCGCTCGACGGAAAAGTTCACAAAAGCCCAACTGCTGCCAAGAAACCGGCCGGCCGGGAGCGAGCGTTGCCGAGGTCGCAGGGAGCTGCGAGGGGCTGGAGAGGTGGAAAGGAAGCAGAGAGGGAGAGGGGGAGCGGGAGAGCGAGCCCGGGGCTAGCCATGGGGAGGCCGGGAGCGAGCCGAGGCTGTCTCGGGAAGTTTAACAGGAGAAATCCTCCGCAGCGCAGGTACGCACCAGGGCAGGCACAGGCGAGCAGGGAGAGAAGGAGGGCACTCTCTCCCGCACTGAAGAGTCACAGACGTCCCTCTCTTTTTCCCAGCATTTTATTGGTGGCCGTTTCGTTTCCATCTCCTCCTTCCACCCCCACGAGAAAACACACCACCCCCCTCCTCCTCCCCCGCCGAAAAAGCAGCACTAGCACTAGCCTGTATCTCTGGAAAAAAGAGGGAGAGATTGAATGCACCTTTGAAATCTGCTCCAAGGCGAACGCCGCATCGCAGTAGCTTGGCCGCTGCAGATACTCCCGGTCGGGCGCCGCGGCGCGCCGGTTCCCTCCGGTCCTTCGCCGCCTCCCGCCGCCGCTCCTCGCCGCCCGGCCGGGGTGGCCTCCGCCGCCCGCGCTGCCGCTGGTCTCCGGCTCCGATGCGTTACCGGCCGAGGCCATGTTGCCGCCGCCGGAGAGACGGGGGAGCTGCCGCTGGCGCTGCCGCGGCGGGGCCCGGGGCCCCGGGGGCGCGGCGGGGCCGCGGGGGGCTGGCGGCGCTGCGGGCCGCGGGCTGATGCTGCTGCTGCGGGGGCTGCTGCTGCCGCCACTGCTGCCGCCGCCGCCGCCGCCGGGGCTGGGGCTGCTGCTGGGGCTGCTCCGGCGCGGCCGCCTCACGCGGGGCGCGGGGCGGCGGCTGCCGCCGCGGCCGCTCCGGCCGAGTCGCTCCCCGCGCCTCCCATTGCCACATCGCGCGCGGACCCCGCGCTGCAGGCGGCCGCTCCCCGCGCCCGGCGAGGGCGGGCGGGCGGGCGGGCGCGACTCCCGGGCCCCCCCGGCCGCCGCCGCCGCGCTGTCCTCCGCTCCCGTTGAAATCGCCTCCTCCGGCCGGCCGCCGCTGCCTCCGGGAAGCCGCTGTCCGCGGCGGCGCTCAGCGACGGCGGCGGGGCGGCGGCGCGGCGGGCCGCGGCTGCTCCTGCTGCTGCTGGGCTGCCTCGCCCCGCTGCACCATCCTGCCTCAGCGCCGGGGTGCTTCCCGCGGGCCGCGGGGCCGGCGGGGTTCCGCGGTCGGCCCCGCCGCGGCGGCGGGCGGGCGGCTGCCTGGCGCTCTCCCTCGGTGTGTGCGCGGCAGCACCGAGCTGCAGCCCCTCGGCTCCAGAGATGAGATGAAGAAGAAAAAAAGGACTCTCTCCATTTGGATAAAGAGGAGGGGGGGGGAGGTGGGGGAGTATGAGTGGAGAGAGAGCGAGAGAGGGAGAGGGAGGAAAAAAAAAAAAAGGGGCTGAGAGCCCGCCCCCGGGGCTGTCAGATGGCTTGGGTTTCTGCGAGGCGATTGGCTCGGGGAGGGCAGAAATTACTCAGCAAACATGACTATTATTAGCTGCTTAGCAACAGCTCACCAAAGTAGAGGGACCACCCAGGCCGGCAACCCTTGTGTGTGCATCTCCAGCTTCAGGGGGAGCCTTAAAGAGATCCCGTCTTCTTTGCATGCAATACTTCCATTAAGGAATGCCTTCTCCCCCTTTCTTCTTCGTTTTCTTTTCAAGAAAGTTGGTTTTTTGGTTTCGATTGATTTTTTTTCCTCCGTCCGGGATGCTTGCAGACAAATACACGCGCGGAACTTTCTCGCGATCGACATACAGAAATACATTTTTCCCTTTTTAAAAGAGAGGGAAACGGGGGGAAAGCAGCACTAAGCGATTCCTAAAGGCCTTAAAAGAAAATCCTTTTTAGAGGCACCTTGGCCTCGAGCTGCAACAAATACTGGGAGGTCCGAGCTGAATTCCCAGGCTTGCAGGAATAATGACAGGGTGGTGGATACTGCGGTAGAAAGTGCCAGATTTTAGTCCCTCTCTCTTTAACTAAAGAGGAGGCTTAGTTCCTTGCAAGAAAACCACTCCGTCCAGTTAGAAAAACACAATGAAAACTTAACACTTGAGGGCTTTAAAGCCGCGGTAGCTAGCCTGTTTCAACTTAGGGCTCATTCTTTAACTGAAACCTGAGGAAAGCCAACTTTAATATGTTTTTAGTGTGAAAGTCCATGAAACGCAGCCTGCCTGGCCGCGCTAAACATTTCTTGAACTACACGCGATTGTTTACTTTTTTGGCACCGCTTCTCCCCGTCTCCGTTCATTGAGAATCAGCCATTAATTTGCTGCCTTTGGAGCCGCGCGCACCCGCCCCCAGCCCCGGGGCTGCGCGCCCCGGCCCCCAGCGCGGCTCCCCGCGGGGGCAGCCCTGGGCCGGGCGGACCCCCGTGCGCGGGGGGCGGCGGGGGGCGGCCGCCCCTGCGCTCCGGGCCCGGGGACACTCTCTTGGGGGGCGGCCCTCCGCAGGGACGGCTGCTGCCTGCCGGAGCAGGGCGGGAAGTGGCAGGGCGGTGAGAGAAATGCGGGGGAAAAGAGGGCGGCGCGGGGACCCGAGGTGCGAGGAGCAGCCCGGCGAGGCCGGTGCGGTGCCCAGCTCGCCACACCCGCCAGCACCGCGCACCTCTCCCTTCGGCCCCGCCGCGCGTGTACCTGGGGGAGCGGTCCTAGGCGAAAGCCCCGAGCCCCTGGTCACTGCCAGCGTCCTTCTCCCCTCGGCGGGGCTGCCCTGCGCCAGCAGCCGGGCCCCCCCGGCGCCCGCACCGGGGGCGGGCTGTGCACAGCACCGCTCTCTCCGTGAGACTGCCCGAGGGCACCTACGGGCAGGGCCCTTCCAGGGCCATAGGCGCCACTTAGGGGGTCCCTTTTCCCTTTCCCTGTGTCCCACCTCCGTTTTTCCCACAGTGGGAAACCTGCCTCCTTGAAGGCCCTGCCCTGTGCTCCGCACAGCACTGTCTCCAGCAGAGCTGCTGGGAGCAGCAAGCTGTCATGCACGCACGCGTAGGTGTATACATATGGGACAAGGAAACCTGAAGCGGTTGGAGCTGGCGGCTCTTTTCTGTTGGAGGCTGAAACTTGCACCTACAGTGCTGTCGACCACCCCCAGGTTTCCACTTGGGAAAGTGACCGCTCCCTAAGAACTGATGTGCCACTGTTTCTGCATCCTCTCAACCTCTATAGGGGTAGCAGAGCTGGTGAATGGAGAAAGAAGGGATGGGTGGAGAAGCATTTTGGTTCAGCCTCCTAGCAGGCTCCAAAACCGCGGAAGAATGTCCCTTTCAAGCACCTCGAGTCCCCAGAGCTGCCCTGCATGCTTCCTGCCTGCCAGGCTTCACAGAGTAGCCTAGCACCCGTTCCCACTCGTGATTCCAAAACTCGATCTGAAGACTCAAATTTAACAAGCACTATCTTAATCTCCCTTCTCTCCCTGTGGTCTGGAGAGATTTTTTTTCGTATTTTAAAGCATACACAAGAGATTAATTACTGCAGAGATCTAATTGGTCTTGTTTCAGGGATGGGGGGTTGTGTGTTGCTTTTTTTTTGTTTGTTTGTTTTGGTTTTTTTTTTTTTTTTTTTTTTTTTTTCCCTTAAGGAAGAAATGTCGGTGTAAAAGTCTCCACTTGGGTGGTCAGAGCAGTGACTGCCCCCAGTCTGCCTCATAGCTGATGCCTGCGTGCTACATTCCTGGCAATAATGTTCCTAATCAATCTGCCCTTATTCACATTTGTAAGCACTGCTGGCTGTGATAGGCATGCCCTGTGTGTGCGGCTGCTCCTCCACACCAAGGGCTTTTTCCATCTTAAGCAACTCGAAGGGATCTCACAGATTTCTTATCTAGGACTCGCTGTATGGTAAAGGCCTGGGAAGGTGTCTCTTTATGCAGTGGCTGCAGTCTACAATCACCTTTTATACCTGTTCCTTTCAATGACTGGAGAGCCAAGCCTGGTGTACAAGAATCTCAGCTTTGACTTTGGTCGTAGTGGCTTCATTTTTTTAATACTCTGCTTTTTAGGTCACCTTGGTGTCCATAACGCCCAATATGGCAGAGCTTCACACTTCCTCCAGCCAAGTGACGTATCAAATCCAATTGAAGTTAACAATGGGTAAGTGGTATTTACAGTGATTCTACTTTAACACTTTTTTTCCCATGTTGCTCATCACCTGTGGACACACCACCAAATGCATTTGTGCTGCTGGAGCATTTGATTATCGTAACAAAGACACAGAAATGAAGCACAGGCATTTTAGTTTCCTTCTGTAGGGCTACAAGAGAATTGACCATGGGAGAAGATGGACTTGTGGAAAAATAACCTGATTTTTTCTATTCCCTCAAATTTTCGCCTCTCACGCAGGATTCCATTGCACGAGGGCACACGTCTGCCTCGACCCTGTGCTCCACCCGCACACCTGACACTGGCTTTGACATGAGATCACAGATGACTCGGCTGTGCAGAGCAGGCTGAGCCTCCCTCTCCGTTTGCAGTCGCTGTGCCTGCTGGACCCCCGGCCGGCGGGGGCTGCCCCAGGGGGGCCGCGGTGCTCCGCGGGGGCTGCCCCGGGGGGCGGTGATGCTCAGCGGGGGCTGTCCCGGGGGGTCCGCGGTGCTCGGGGGATGCTGCCCTGGGGGGGCTGCCCCAGGGGGTCCGCGGTGCTCCGCGGGGGCCGCTCCGCAGGGCAGCGCCGCCGCGCAGCGCCCGCGCCTGGAGGAGGAGGCGGGCGGCCTCTCCCCCTCCTCAGCCGTAGAAGAAAGGGAACTGCTCGAGCCAACTTGTCAAAATAATGCGGCTAATTACCCCTGATCTCCTTTAATGGAAAGCTGCTCTGCACGCCACAAAGGAGCAAATGAGGGATCTACAGCACCAACCGAGGAGTAGTGGCATTTTCTTCCGCGGAGGGCTGCGGGGAAACGTGCCTCCAGAGGAGCCTTCGAGGTTTCTGTGCTCCTCCCGCGCACAGCGGACTCCCAGGGGAGGGCGAGAGCGCGCGGGGAGCTGTGCAGGGCAGTGGCGGGAGCAACACCCCGATCCCTCCAAAACCCGGGGGACATCCCAGCTCTAGCACACCTTGTCACATTCCACGAGGAGCTTTAGCTCTATAAACCCAAGGCGTCTTCAAAACAGATTCTTTTTTTGGCAAAATGCCCTGCCACTTGTAGGACGTTACTGTGCATTGAGAGGGGGAAGTTACCCTGAATCATTTTTAGCCAGTCTGGACAACACCGGGTCTGTGTAAAGACAGCTCAAATCTTGCATGTGCCAGAAGGCAGGGCATTCACTTTCATGATCTCTGCCATCGGGCCTTGCAGAAAAAAAAGCTGAGCGACACAATCTCTTTGACCCACTGCTGGAGCAACAAATTTATTAGAGATATAGGCGTGAGAAATGAAAAGGAAGTAAAACAATTCAGGCTCATTGTATGTCTTTCTTTCATACTGCTAATCCGGTTTACACATCACGCCTACATGTCTCAATAGGGCTTTATATACTGTGGCAAAGGCAGAACAAAATAAAAGGTGTGTGAGTGTGCGTATGTGTGTGTGCATGTGCATGTGTGTGTGAAATAAGGATAAAAACAGAGAAGCCCAAGACATTTTAATTCAGAGTGGGCTGCCAGTTTTATATCTATGGGCTCTTGAAAGCAAATAGATTTTAAAGGGTTCCTTCCC